CCCTGCCTCTTCACTGATTGCTACTAGGTCCTCTCTCCCTGCCCCATGAGCTTTATCATATCTCACCTTAAAGCTATGTATGGTTCCTGCCTCCACTACATTACTTTCTAGGCTATTCCACTTCCTGACAACTCTATGACTGAAGAAATACTTCCTAACATCCCTTTGACTCATCTGAGTCTTCATCTTCCAATTGTGACCTCTTGTTGCTGTGTCCCATCTCTGGAACATCCTGTCTCTGTCCACCTTGTCTGTTCCACGCAGTATTTTGTATGTCGTTATCATGTCTCTCCTAACCCTCCTGTCCTCCAGTGTCGTCAGGCCGATTTCCCTTAACCTTGTCACAAACCTTTGCACTTTCTCTAATTTCTTGACATTCTTTCTCAAGTGTGGGTTCCAAATAGGTGCTGCATACTCCAGTACAGTGTCTTGAATGATTCCTTACTAAGGTATCGGAACGCTGCTCTCAGGTTTGCCAGGCGCCCATATGCTGCAGCAGTTATCTGGTTGATGTGTGCCTCAGGAGATGTGCTCGGTGTTATACTCACCCCAAGATCTTTCTCCTTGAGCGAGGTTTGCAGTCTTTGGCCACCTAGCCTATACTCCATCTGCGGTATTCTTTGCCCTTCCCCAATCTTCATGACTTTGCATTTGGCGGGGATAAATTCGAGAAGCCAGTTGCTGGACCCTGTGTCCAGCCTGTCCAGGTCTCTTTGTAGTCCTGTCTGATTTAATTCTCCTCATTAACTTCACATCATCTAAAAACAAGGACACTTTTGAGTCTAACCCTTCCATCATGTCGTTCATATATACCAGAAATAGCGCTGGTCCTAAGACCGACCCCTGTGGGACCCCGCTCATCACAGGTGCCCACTTTGATACCTCATCATGTACCATGACTCGTTGTTACCTTCCAGTCAGGTATTGTCTGATCCATTGTAGCGCCCTTCCTGTTATATGCGCCTGATCCTCTAGCTTCTGCACCAATCTCCTGTGAGTTACTGTGTCGAATGCCTTCTTGCAGTCTAAGAAGATGCAATCAACCCACCCCTCTCTCTCGTGTCTTACTTCTGTTACTTTATCATAAAATTCCAGTAGGTTTGTGACACAGGATTTGCCTTCTATAAATCCATACTGGTTGGCGTTTATGCTCTTGTTCCCTTCCAGGTGCTGCACCTCTCTCCTCCTGATAATTTTCTCCATGACTTTGCATACTATACACATCAGTGACACTGGTATTTATGTATACTGTATTTATGTATACCTGAATAAACTTACCTTGATCCAGCACCAGGCCTGATCACAGACCAGGCCACAGGGGTGCTGACCCCCGAAACCCTCTCCAGGTAATCAGTTTAAACAGAGACGTGTCGTTCTTATTTCTGCCAATGACAAAGTAAGTTTGATTAGATTTAGGTAGGTTAGGTAAGGTTTGGTTAGGTTAGGTTAGCTTTAGATAGGTTATCTTTTGTTAGGTTAGTTTTAGCTAGGTTAAATTAGGTTAGCTTAAGTTAGGTTAGGTTAGGTTTTGTTAGTGCCCCCCACCTTGGCATGGTCCATGACCAAGTCTGGTGGTAGATCAGGGACTGATCAACGAGGTTGTTACTGCTGGTTGCATGTAAACCAACGTGGGAACCACAGCCCGCCTAGTCAGGTACTGACTTTCTGTCCAGCTCCCTCTTGAAGACAACCAGGGATCTTGAAGACAACCAGGGGTCTATTGGTAATCCCCTTTATGTTTGCTGGGAGGCAGTTGAACAGTCTTGGGCCCCTGACACTTCTTGTGTTGTCTCATAGCATACTCATGGCACCCTTGCTTTTCATTTGGGGCATGTTGCACTGCCTTCCGAGTCTTTTGCTTTTGTATTCGTGTTCTATAGATGTTTTGCCATCCTGTGGCTTTATAAATACATAGACATAATCTGAAGACTATAAAAATATATATAAAGGCTAGTAAAAGATGAGATAGTCAGTCCCTCAGTTTAGGTGTTGAAACTGGGGACAGTAGAAACCAAACTCACAAAATCGTAATGACGCGATTGCAAACAAACCATACCAGGGGTGGGGATAGAACCCGCGGTCAGAGTCTCAAAACTCCAGACCGTCGCATTAGCCACTGGACCAGCTAGCCACAATAAGATTTGTCCAGCTAGGTATATTTCTACACCATAGGAAGGTTAGCATAGGCTAACGCGACGGTCTGGAGTTTTGAGACTCTCTGATCGTGGATTCTATCCCTGTCCGTGGTATGGTTAGTAGAAACCAAGATAATCTGCATGATTATAGGCTATTCTGTGTAGTAGATAATATAATGTAAGTCTGTGTAATATCATAAATAACAAAATTTACTGTATTCATTTGGTACAGTAACGAAGCAAATTGGACGTTTCTATTACACATAATTATGTGTTTATGGTCTGACTGACCTTAATACAAGTTGATAAGTAAGACGCAGGTGGAACGGTTAGTTATCTTTTTTCTGAAGCTTTTTGAATACACAGAATTCTTTCTTTTAACCCGTAAACGGTCCAAGCAGATCTACGTTCACATGTGTAGTGCTGCAAAAATAGATCTATGTTTTTTTACGTATTTTCAAATATAACAAAAAAAATTAGATCAAAGTTTTTTTACACATTTTCAAATGTAAAAAAACTAAAAGAAGATCTACTTTTTTTACATACTTTCAAATGTTGAAAAAACGTATATATACGTTTGGACCGTTTACGAGTTAAACGCTTGCTGTTTCCCACTGAGGCAAGGTGAACCAAAAAATGAAGAAATACATTCACCATCATTGTTTTGCCAGAGGAGTGCCGATAAGAAATATCTTCACCCATCCTTGAGAGTGCAGGCACTGTACTTCCTGTGAACAATGAACTTCATCAGTCGAGTATAATGGTGACAGTGGGGATATCTGATTGATACACGAATGTCTTATTTATATAATTGTTGGTATTACATAACATTCAGTGGCAGTGCCATTGTAAGAATTAAAATTATAGTGGCACTGCTCTAAAATTATAGTGGCACTGCTCTAATTATTAATATTATAGTGGCACTCTTCTATTAAAATTATTGTAGAAGCATTATTTTGGTAATTAAAATTATTGAAGAAATGTCTTAGGAACGATGGCACTGTCGCGGTTTGGTCAAGTTTTTGGTCGCTGGAAAGGTGCCATCATCGGCATGATTCACGTCAAGGCTCTACCAGGTGAGTTGTGTGTCATGTTTTACACTAACATATGCACATAAGTGAAGGAAACTTACGACAACGTGTGTGACTATAGGTGATCCTCGCTTTACGAGGTTTGACTTGTACAATGGTTTGACTTACAATATTTTGACTTTATGATTGTTCAACTTATGATATTTTGCCTGAAATGCTCCGCATAGCTGTGGACTTTCTGCATGCACAGATAAATGTCGCTCATCTCTGTACAAACATTGCTTCACGCTGAAATAAAATATTATTGTGTGCAGGTTATTTATTCAGTGACAGTAGTTATTTGTATATTTATCATATCATTGTCAACTTACGATATTTACAACTTATGATGTTTACAAGTCACGACATTTTGAACCTAAAATATTTACAACTCATGATATTTTCAACTTAGGATGAGTTAGATCTGTGTGTGACTTGAAAAAGCCCACTGTGTGGGCGAAACGTTGTCAATAAAGGATCACATTAAACTGCATATGTGTTTGTTTCCATTAAAATGAGTTAGTTGGAACGTAGCCCCATTGTAAGCTGAGGACCACCTGTACCGGCACCCCTCTTTATTTTCCATATTGATTGCAGTATAACTATAAACTGTGTGTATAGTACATAAGGTATACAGTAGAGAGTGTTTTTGAGCATTTTTCTGATATATCGGAGACTCGGACATTTACTCCCTGCTACTTCATTGTATTGAGGGCTTATTGAACTGTGTTGGTGTGTGATCCTTTTGGGTTTAGTGCTTAACTTGGTTATATTATTATTATTGAAGTGTACTTGTATGGGTATAATCACCGGTAGTTTTTCTTTTGAAAGTGTTTTAATAAAATAAGTCGTCTTGGATTTATTTTTTTTTTTTGAATGGTAAAAAAAAAAAAGTTGTCTTGGATTTGAAAATAAATGGTATAAAATACCGACACAATGGAAACATAAACACATATGCAGTTTAATGTGATCCTTTATTGACAACGTTTCGCCCACACAGTGGGCTTTTTCAAGTCACAAACAGATCTACCTGGGGAGGAAGGTACGGGAGTATTTATAGTCGCGTACCTTCCTCCCCAGGTAGATCTGTTTGTGACTTGAAAAAGCCCACTGTGTGGGCGAAACATTGTCAATAAAGGATCACATTAAACTGCATGTGTGTTTGTTTCCATTGTCTAGGATTTACATTTTTATTTGAATGGTAAAACAGGTTGTCTTTGATTTACATTTCTGTTTGTTTTGGATTTGCATTTCTATTCGAATGGTAAAAAAAAGTTAAATTTCAGTTTACAATTTAATTTGAATAGCAAAAAAAGTTGGTTTTCAATTTACATTTATTCAAATAGCAGAAAAGTCATTTTCAATTTACATTTTTACTCAAATGGAAAAAAAAAAACATCATTTATGCTTTCATTTGAATGTTAAGTTTGATAATTTGCACCACCGCAGGTACGCCACTGAACCAGTATGGGGTCGACCAGTTGGTAGAGATGGCATGTACCGAGGCCCAGATTTACAAGGAGGCTCATGTTGTAAGTGTTTTGTTTACATTGTTCTTGTTATTTCTGATTGTTGGATGTTCTTGTTCTTTCTGATTACTGGACGTTCTTGTTATTTGTAATTGTCGAGCATTCTTCTTATTTCTGATTGTTGGACGTTCTTATTATTTCTGATTGTTGGACATTCTTGTTATTTCTGAATGTCAGGTGTTCTTGTTATTTCTGATTGCTGGACATTCTTGTTGTTTCTGAGTGCCAGAGATTCTTATTTCTAATTGCTGATTAGTATGAAAATAACCCCTCACACTTGTATTTATTTTATAAACTATAGAAAATCCATTAAAATTAATAAGATAAGGCACTTTTACTGCAAATTAATATATTTTAACCAAAAATGTCTTATTTTTAGTACAGTAAGTCCTTGACCTACAGACACATTGAGAAGCTTCTGTATTGTGTATATCATTGTTATTTTCTTTATTTTATTATCACACTGGCCGATTCCCACCAAGGCAGGGTGGCCCGAAAAAGAAAAACTTTCACCATCATTCACTCCATCACTGTCTTGCCAGAAGGGTGCTTTACACTACAGTTTTTAAACTGCAACATTAACACCCCTCCTTCAGAGTGCAGGCACTGTACTTCCCATCTCCAGGACTCAAGTCCGGCCTGCCGGTTTCCCTGAACCCCTTCATAAATGTTACTTTGCTCACACTCCAACAGCACGTTAAGTATTAAAAACCATTTGTCTCCATTCACTCCTATCAAACACGCTCAGGCATGCCTGCTGGAAGTCCAAGCCCCTCGCACACAAAACCTCCTTTACCCCCTCCCTCCAACCTTTCCTAGGCCGACCCCTACCCCGCCTTCCTTCCACTACAGACTGATACACTCTTGAAGTCACTCTGTTTCGCTCCATTCTCTCTATATGTCCGAACCACCTCAACAACCCTTCCTCAGCCCTCTGGACAACAGTTTTTTGGTAATCCCGCACCTCCTCCTAGCTTCCAAACTACGAATTCTCTGCATTATATTCACACCACACATTGCCCTCAGACATGACATCTCCACTGCCTCCAGCCTTCTCCTCGCTGCAACATTCATCACCCATGCTTCACACCCATACAAGAGCGTTGGTAAAACTATACTCTCATACATTCCCCTCTTTGCCTCCAAGGACAAAGTTCTTTGTCCCCACAGACTCCTAAGTGCACCACTCACCCTTTTCCCCTCATCAATTCTATGATTCACCTCATCTTTCATAGACCCATCCGCTGACACATCCACTCCCAAATATCTGAATACATTCACCTCCTCCATACTCTCTCCCTCCAATCTGATATCCAATCTTTCATCACCTAATCTTTTTGTTATCCTCATAACCTTACTCTTTCCTGTATTCACTTTTAATTTTCTTCTTTTGCACACCCCACCAAATTCATCCACCAATCTCTGCAACTTCTCTTCAGAATCTCCCAAGAGCACAGTGTCATCAGCAAAGAGCAACTGTGACAACTCCCACTTTATGTGTAATTCTTTATCTTTTAACTCCACACCTCTTGCCAAGACCCTCGCATTTACTTCTCTTACAACCCCATCTATAAATATATTAACCACGGTGACATCACACATCCTTGTCTAAGGCCTACTTTTACTGGGAAATAATTTCCCTCTTTCCTACATACTCTAACTTGAGCCTCACTATCCTCGTAAAAACTCTTCACTGCTTTCAGTAACCTACCTCCTATACCATACACCTGCATCATCTGCCACATTGCCTCCCCTATCTACCCTGTCATACACCTTTTCCAAATCCATAAATGCCACAAAGACCTCTTTAGCCTTATCTAAATACTGTTCACTTATATGTTTCACTGTAAACACCTGGTCCACACACCCCTACCTTTCCTAAAGCCTCCTTGTTCATCTGCTATCCTATTCTCCGTCTTACTCTAATTCTTTCAATAATAACTCTACCATACACTTTACCAGGTATACTCAACAGACTTATCTCCCTATAATTTTTGCACTCTCTTTTGTCCCCTTTGCCTTTATACAAAGGAACTATGCATGCTCTCTGCCAATCCCTAGGTACCTTACCCTCATCCATACATTTATTAAATAATTGCAACCAACCACTCCAAAACTATATCCCCACCTGCTTTTAACATTTCTATCTTTATCCCATCAATCCCAGCTGCCTTACCCCTTTCATTTTACCTACTGCCTCACGAACTTCCCCCACACTCACAACTGGCTCTTCCTCACTCCTACAAGATGTTATTCCTCCTTGCCCTATACACGAAATCACAGCTTCCCTATCTTCATCAACATTTAACAATTCCTCAAAATATTCCGTCCATCTTCCCAATACCTCTAACTCTCCATTTAATAACTCTCCTCTCCTATTTTTAACTGACAAATCCATTTGTTCTCTAGGCTTCCTTAACTTGTTAATCTCACTCCAAAACTTTTTCTTATTTTCAACAAAATTTGTTGATAACATCTCGCCCACTCTCTCATTTGCTCTCTTTTTACATTGCTTCACCACTCTCTTAACCTCTTCTCTTTTTCTCCATATACTCTTCCCTCCTTGCATCACTTCTACTTTATAAAAACTTCTCATATGCTAACTTTTTCTCCCTTACTACTCTCTTTACATCATTCCACCAATCACTCCTCTTCCCTCCCGCACCCACTTTCCTGTAACCACAAACTTCTGCTGAACACTCTAACATTACATTTTTAAACCTACCCCATACCTCTTTGACCCCATTGCCTATGCTCTCATTAGCCCATCTATCCTCCAATAGCTGTTTATATCTTACCCTAACTGCCTCCTCTTTTAGTTTATAAACCTTCACCTCTTTCTTCCCTGATGCTTCTATTCTCCTTGTATCCCATCTACCTTTTACTCTCAGTGTAGCTACAACTAGAAAGTGATCTGATATATCTGTGCCCCTCTATAAACATGTACATCCTGAAGTCTACTCAACAGTCTTTTATCTACCAATACATAATCCAACAAACTACTGTCATTTCGCTCTACATCATATCTTGTATACTTATTATCCTCTTTTTTCTAAAATATGTATTACCTATAACTAAACCCCTTCTATACAAAGTTTAATCAAAGGGCTCCCATTATCATTTACACCTGGCACCCCAAACTTACCTACCACACCCTCTCTAAAAGTTTCTCCTACTTTAGCATTCAGGTCCCTACCACAATTACTCTCTCACTTGGTTCAAAGGCTCCTATACATTCACTTAACATCCAAAATCTCTCTCTCTCCTCTACATTCCTCTCTTCTCCAGTTGCATACACGCTTATTATGACCCACTTTTCGCATCCAACCTTTACTTTAATCCACATAATTCTTGAATTTACACATTCATATTCTCTTTTCTCCTTCCATAACTGATCCTTCAACATTACTGCTACCCCTTCCTTTGCTCTAACTCTCTCAGATACTCCAGATTTAATCCCATTTATTTCCCCCCACCGAAACTCCCCTACCCCCTTCAGCTTTTGTTTCGCTTAGGGCCAGGACATCCAACTTCTTTTCATTCATAACATCAGCAATCATCTGTTTCTTGTCATCCCACACTACATCCACGCACATTTAAGCACCCAGTTTTAAAGTTTTTCTTCTTCTCTTTTTTAGTAAATGTCTACAGGAGAAGGGGTTACTAGCCCATTGCTCCCGGCATTTTAGTCGCCTCATACGACACGCATGGCTTACGGAGGAAATATTCTTTTCCACTCTCCCATGGACAATAGAAGAATAAAGAAGAACAAGAGCTATTTAGAAAAGGAGAAAAACTAGATGTATGTATATATATATATGCATGTGCGTGTCTGTGAAGTGTGACCAAAGTGTAAGTAGGAGTAGCAAGATATCCCTGTTATCTAGCATGTTTATGAGACAGAAAAAGAAACCAGCAATCCTACCATCATGCAAAACAGTTACAGGTTTCTGTTTCACAGTCATCTGGCAGGACGGTAGTACTTCCCTGGGTGGTTGCTGTCTACCAACCTACTACTATCATTTATTGTGTACATGTATACAGTGGACCCCCGGTTTACGATATTATTTCATTCCAGAAGTATGTTCAGGTGTCAGCACTGAACGAATTTGTTCCCATAAGGAATACTGTGAATTAGATTAGTCCATTTCAGACCCCCAAACATACACATACAAACGCACTTACATAAATACACTTACATAACTGGTCGCATTGGGAGCTGATCGTAAACCGGGGGTCCACTGTATTATTATTATTATTATTATTATTTACACAATTCAGGAGGTCCCCGATGTGTTCGTAAATTGAAGACTTCCTTTATTATAAATTATGAAAACTACGCCTTCAAGATGATGGAATGATTACATTCATCTTCACGTCTCTTATTCTTCTACGAACTTTTCTCTACTCGACTGAAGAAGCCTGCTGTGTAGGTGAAACATTTTGAAATAAAGATACCTAACTGTTGCACATGTGTCTTACCTAACATTATGAATTATACACAATTCAGGAGGTCCCCAACATGTTCTTAAGTCAAGGACTTCCTGTATTACACTAAGACTGACATATCCTCTGGTCCGGTTTCCACCATTTCGGTTATCCGCAGTTGACCGTAGCCCGAAAATAAGCCTTAATTTTGCTTAATAATGGCACCATAGTGATAAAATACTAATTCTCCCACTTATTATTTGCAATTCATCAATTAAACTTTATAACCGGTCTGTATAAGTTGTATCATGTACTTGTAGAAATAAATATTTAATGTCAATTTTTTCTTTTGTTTTCAGGACGGAGTTTTGGTGGAGAATATGTTTGATGTGCCTTATGTTAAGAGGTCATCACTAGGACCTGAAGTTGTTGCTTGCATGACCAAAGTTTGTTGTGAGGTGCGAAGAATCATCCCACGGAGTGTACCCTGTGGTGTTCAGGTACAGTACATACTCAGGAATGCATGTACACTGGACCCCCGGTTAACGATATTTTTTCATTCCAGAAGTATGTTCAGGTGCCAGTACTGACCGAATTTGTTCCCATAAGGAATATTGTGAATTAGGTTAGTCCATTTCAGACCCCCAAACATACACGTACAAACACACTTACATAAATACACTTACATAATTGGTCACATTGGGAGCTGATCGTTAAGCGGGGGTCCACTGTAGTATGAAACTGATGAAGCTTCAGCTTCAGGGCCCCTAATCCCGGAGGGGCCCCAGAAACAATTTCATGATATCTTTATTTCTACAAGTACATGTACAAGGTATACAGACAATAGCTGACGTCAGTGACATACTACTATATAGAAAGCTGCTTGTTATGCTGAGCATTTGCCGCAAATTAGGTCAGTTTTGTCCCAGGATGCAACCTGCACTGGTTGATTAACACCCAGGTACCTATTTTACTGATTGGTGAATATGAACAGCAGGTGTCTCAAGGAAACATGTCCTGATGTTTCCACCCGTACCAGGGCATCGATCCCTGGACCTCAGTGTGTTAGCTGAGTGCATTAGCAATTGAGTTATTAAAGGGGCCCCATAGTAGTTCAAGCTTCAGGACCCCTCACCCCAGAGGGGCCCCACAAGCAACTTTAGTCCACGTTGTTCAAGCCTCTCCTGACTTTGACGGAGTTCCGTTCCTAAGACCACGTCAGTAAATGAATTCATTGCTAAGCAAGGAGTATGTTGTAATGGTAGTGAGTTTGTCAACCATCTTTGATATTGTTTTTAAATGTCATTTTTTGTACCATATATAACATTTTTTTGGAAATTTTTTTTAAAAAAAAATTTTTTTTAACATTAGTATACTGTATATTTAATCAATAGAATAGAGGAAATGGCTCTAATTTACATTATTTGGGTATGAAAGGGTGGTTAGAGACCGCGAAATTTCCAGTCATCGGGAAAACAAATATGTCACGGTTTGAAGGGGCTGTATGTTATTTTCCCCTTTAGTAAATTTCTTATGAGGGGAAACTTTAATGATTTTTGTACATATATAAAATGTTTATTTCCGTGTAGTCTTAAGTTATTTCCCCCAAAAAATACATTTGGAACCTCAAAAACGAACTGTTTCCTAACTAAAAAAAATTTTTGTAATGTATTTTTGTAAGTGCTTTTAAAAGGGGGAAATTTTTGGGGGTTTTTGGAATGGACTAACAAATTTACTTTAAATTTTGAGGGGAAAATAAATTTTTCCCGGTAACAGCACTTGGACACCCCTTCTGCCTGAAGAAATTCAAATTTGTTTGATTTTTCCACTGTTCTTTGCAAAACCCATGGGCCCTTTTTTGCATCATTCGTAGCCCACCCACTGCTATATAAGCTTCCTGTATAAACATTCCTATGAAAACATTGACTTTGACTTCTTGACTGTTTGGGTTTCCATTCATGACAGATTTTAAGGGCACATTTAAAGACAGCATTGCGGGAAAAATTTTCCATGAATTGTTCCAGCCATGATTTTTATAAAACCTTTTAAATTCTATTTTAAAATTTTGGGGATACCATGAAGAAGCGTAAGTCGGTAAGATCACCTTTTAAAATACGTGCAATTTAGGCAGTAAAGATGATATAAAACCCCCCCATGTGCCATATTTTACACCATCGAAGATCCCCTTTTTTTTCCCCCAAATTTTTTAAAAAATTTTCCCCCGAAACGTCTTGAAACCCCAAAGTACCATTTATTTTTTTTTTTCCAAATATTCACCAATCGGGGATTGGGATAAAACACGGGAGCTTTCTTTTTCCCACTGAAAAAATACAGCAACAAAAAACAAACTTTTTATTTTGTTTGTGCAGTATACAATTACAGCCTCCCCCTTACTTAACAACGGGTTTTCCTTTCCTAAGAGTAGGTCATAAGTAAATTTGGGGTCATTAAGCGAGGGGGGGGGGGCAAATACTGTAAGGGTCATGGTTTGTGTCAGTATTTTTTAAAATTTTTTTTAAATATCCCCTTTTGAACCTTTTTAAAACATTTTTTTGGGTATGTTTTTTAAAATGTTTAAAACAGTATTACTTTTTTCTATAAAAACAGAAAAAAAGGAAAATTCAACTCAAACATAAAAAGGGTTTGCATTTGGTTGGAGAGCGGGTCGAAAGTCTAAGTTGTGGGGAAATAAGTCCTCGCTAAGTGGGAGGGGTTTGTAGTTATTTTACATTAGAAAAAAATTTTTAAGTGAAAAGAAAGCCACTAGCATGCCATTATTATATGGGGAGCGCAAAATCCATAGGGATTTTCAGCACCTGTGGGGGGGGGGGGAAAGGGGAGGAAGCACTCTGGAGCGGAAGGGCCCTCGCATGATATTTACTTTCTTTTCACTTGCAAATCACATTGAAATTTAAAAAATTTTAAATTTAAGCATGGAAATAGACTCCTTAAAAACTTTTCACCCACATTTTGGGAAAATTTGCAAAAAAATAAAAATTTAAATTTTTGAATGAGTTTCAGGCAGATTAATTCAAAAGGCCCTATAGATTTGCCCTCATGTGGGGGCTAAGGAACTATCAATCGAATTATGGTTTGATAGTTGGTTTTGTTTCATATGGCAAATTTAGTGGTTTTTTAAAGTTAGGGAAAGATGACGTGTTTTTTTTTTTTTTTAAACACTTTGGGGCGCTCCCATTGGGGAAAGGGTAAACCTAAAAAAAAAAAAAAAAAAAAAACCCTTTCCCAAATGTCATTCACCCTATCACTGTCTTTCAGAGGCACTCAGATATAACAGTTTAAATGTCACTCCAAACAGCTGGTATCCCAGACCCCTCCCCTAAGGGTCGGGCTTGTACTTCCCCCCAAAGAACTAAAGTCTCTTAGCTGGGGTTTTCAACCTGAGAACCTAGCTTTTAAATTTTGCCCCAAATTCACTTTAAAAACCAACAAATATTAGAGCCTAAAAGAAAAGGGAAAAATATGCGGAAATTTTTCATCTTCACAAAACAACGACAATTGATACGAAATTTAAAACCAAATCAAAGAAAATTTACACTCAAAATCACAACTTTAAAAAAGATTTACAGACATTATGCAAAAGGGCCCTCCAGCCCAGCAATAATGATCAGTATGAAAGCTTTTAAAAAAAAATTCAACTTCAAAAAACAAAAACTTTAAAATGGGAAAAAGTCAACCATCCCCTAAATAAAAAAACCGGGAAAATTTAAACCCGGGAAACAACACGGATCCAAACCCTTTGCCTAAAAAAAAAATTAATCTAGGCACTTGGGTCTTATGCAAAATTCCCAAAGTAAGAGAAGATGTAAACAAGAAAGAAAAGAAAATGCCCCCTATACAGACAAGGTGGAGAATCCGGGAGTTTGCTGAGGGGGGCCAATATACTGAAATATGAAGGGAGGCACTGGTCACAGAACTAGAAAATATAAAATTTAAATTTTTTAAGGGAAAATTTACAGGAGGGGAAAAATTCCAGGAAAAACCCTAAAATCCATAAAGGAAATTGAAAAAACCCAAAAAAATACTTTTTCCCTCTTATACCAAATTTATTTTTAAAACCCAACACCCCAAATTTTGGGGCCCGCTGCTTGGGCAAATGAGATAAACACAATGCCCCCCCAAAAAGAAATGGTTGAAAAATAAAAGTCCCAGAAAAACCCCGGGGTTTTAGCGACCATTACCCAGACTAACGTAAACAGTCTAAAGGAATTTTTTTATGACCGGGACTCATAATTGGGTAAATTTAAAAAAATCTCGTTTTAATATCCTAACCCCAACAAGATTTTAAAAAGGGGAATTTAAAGGGACTTGCCATCACTTCCCCCAGGCCCAGATTTTTGGAAAACTCCGTGGTCCCTTAAAGGGTTTTCCCTTATGGAGAGGGGCATGGAAAACGCAGGCCCATCCCACACTCGCTAAAAAAAAACAGACATACCCCCCCTCCACAAAGGGGCAGTAAAAGCACTTCCCAAGAACTGAAAGACAAAAGCACTAGTGTCCCCAACCACCTAGATCCCCGTAATTTAAACAAAACCCCCAGGTAAAACATAGGTGTAGGGGCGGGTTTTTCCTTGTCGCCCAGCAAACGGGACCACTTTTACAAGGCCGGGATGCTGTAGAGGTTTAAAAAAAATTTGCAAATGTAGAAACCAGGTCACCATCACTAACCCGGCAATTTTTAAACCAGTTCCACCAGTAATTGGCCCAAATTTTGGCTAGCTTTAATTTTAAAATTTTCATCATTATACGGGATCAAAATTGGGGCATTTGGGTTTTGAAAAATTTCCACAGCAGCAACCAAAGGAAAAAAAGCAGATGAAAATAAGGAAGTTACAGAAAGTCTCTTTTGATGGGGTTTAATTAACCTGAAAAACGGCCCAAAGGGTTATATAAACTTTTTTTCAATATTTGAAAATTTAAAAAAAAAGTAAAATCTTCTTTTTGTTTTTTTTTTCAAATTTTAAAAAGTTTTTAAAAAACTTTGATCTAGTTTTTTTTTTTTATATTTGAAAATATGTAAAAAAAAAAATAATTTACTTTTGTAGCACTACACATTTTGAAAAGTAGATCGCTTTGGGGCCGTTTAGGTTAAGATAAATTTTAAAAACCTTTCCCACTAAATCCAGCAAATTCACTAATCCCCGCCCCAGTCCCTCCCACTGATGGCCCGGGGGAGTGAGGGTGATGTGGGATTTCACAGACGGGTTTCAAAAACCTTTTTACAAGTCGACCCCAGTGTATAGCGCACAAAATGTGTTACGGGGGTAACAGGGGAAAAAAGGTTGGTAATGGTTCTACAATTTTCCCACAATTTCAAAAAAAGAGTAATAGTAAACAGGGGTAAAGTTCCCCAGGTGGTAAGTGAAAATCTGTGTTTCAAGGGACCCGGTTTTTCGCTCCCTTCCTTAATTTTAGGAGGCCCTTTTTAAAACCGGGCCCCGGGGGGGGTTTAAACCCCCAAAATCCCCTCCAGGTAAAAATC